GCTTCTAAAAATATCAGTCAATGTTTTAAGGATTAACTCAACTGATGGAGTACCTGTTTTAGTGCTCTTCCCTGTGTGCCTCATGACAAGTGCAGACCTCCCTTGCACGTACTTTACCTTTCCAATGATCCCTCCAGCATAGAGCAATGATAATGACCGGATAAAATTTTCATTACTTTTCTCGTATTCTTGTGCTTCCTTCTTTATTTCCATCAGAGTGGCCTTTTTCAATTTTTTAGATGAGGAGAGATACTTGGCAACATCAGTTACTTTGCTATACTTAAGGACAGTGGAGACCATGCCCTCTAGAGCAGGAGCCCTGTCCTCCATACTCCCTCCATTGATCTCTGTTGCAGCAATTAAGGTTTCCAATTGCCTCCGTTGGGCACTTCGTCAAGGTAAGTTCAGTTTACCACCATCAGAAAGTTCAGAGGGATTCTTTTTGCGCGCAGTGGAGGTGTTTTTTGAAATTACAAATGCACTTGAACGTGGTGTTATCTCAAGCTGATTCATGCATTCTTGTACTTTCTCACTCTTTTCTTGAAGACGCTTATTTCTCTTTCTTAATGCCGACAACTTCTTACTTTTTGATAAATATTCATCACGGAGGTTACATTTTTCCCTTACCAACTCACCGAGTGGAAATCGGCTTCTCGCAGAACATTTAGGAGACCTCCAAAGAGGTTTCTTCTTGGTTCCCATACAAGCTCAAACTTGAGCCCAAAATTCAATGGCCTACGATCAAATGCAAAGATTTTTACTAATTTTTCAAACAAAAATTCACCCTCTGAAGCTCACAATATTAACCATTTTTTCCACAAGAACGAAAGACAAATACCTTTTCTAGGGAAGTATGGTTTTACTTTTTCAAAATTGGGTGGCAATAAACTCAAATATATCACTTTCAAAAGTCCACTAGAACCAGAAATTTCTGAACTTATAGATGGTGTCGAAGTGCTTTTTCACAACCGCCGTATTTTTCGAAAACTGAACGCTATATGGTAAACAAGGTATCAAAAGAAAGCTTTTCCCTCGAGGATTTCGGATTTTGCGGCTAGAAGTTGTGTACTCGTACCATTCCCCCCACAAAGGGGGGGAAGCCTGGCGAATTTTTGCTCTTCGCGCGCGAGGAAAATGGCCGCGCCAAATTTTGAACAAGAGGACTGGGGAAAGCGGGACATTTACTTGGCCCAGTTTTAGGCAATAATTTCCAAGCGTGTTGGTGAGTGATAATTTGCCCCTAAATTGTTCGTGACCGCTGTAAATTGAAGATAATAACAGAACCATCACTGTTAAACAGGTTGATAAAAAGTTCACTTTAGCCTTTTGTCAAATCGGAGAACCGATCAGCCGGCTTTAAGCATTATGCATCCGAAATATGAGTTCAAGTTCTGCTTTTCCAAACTTTGAAAAATTTGCAAGCGCTTATTTTCATAAAATTGCACGAGAAGTGTTGCTAATTACTTGCTAGTTATTCACTTCGAAAAAAGCATTACAGAAAATCAAGCAGAAGAAATTTTGACAGTGCGCGCACTGTTTATAGTTTGCACTCGTTTTACAACTTGTTTTCAGCCAATCAGAAGCGAACATATTGTTCATGTATGTTATTATTCACGTGGCAAAAAAACTTGATCTTATAGTGTACTAGCGGGTCTTTGTTCGTTTAAGACGTCATAAAAGAAAACGGATGCTGAAAAATGTCTTTACATCGTCCAAGACACGAAAACACTGTTTTGTTAACCCATCGTTTTATTATATTTTTTCAATTCCGAAGCAAAGCGATCAATGGAGTAAGGTTTGGAAAGATTTCATTGTAAAGTGAAAACCTTATGAAACAGAAGAATACAAGTCCAAAGTGCCGATGTTTTGGAGTGCATCTTTATTAGGAATAAAGTTTCTGTATTCTAATTAACCTTTTCCTCACTCATAGCAGACTCTGGCTTGCACGTTCCAAATAAATATTCCTGAATAAGATTTAAAATGAACATTTCAATGTTGTGTTTCCATGCTTAAAAACCGATAGACCAAACTATTATCTACACATTCTAAAGTGATATTTACGCAGAAAAGATAAAATTAAATATCGTTTTACTTTAAAAATTTGTAAAGCTGATAAACAATGAAGTACTGATACATTTTCAGAGATCAGTTTCTACAATTTACTACGATATAACTTACCGAAGATTAAGAACTGCAAGACCCAAATATGAAATATGGCAAGGAGGCAAACAAGAAAATGTGATAAAGTTTTCTCAAATATGTAAATTTTCTAGAGACGTTTTAATCGGATTAATTTCACTCTCCAAATCATAGTTCGTTTCCAACTTTGCAGGCATAACATAAATGTTTTTCTTTATTCTAGAAATGTGCTTATCTGCAACACTTGTGTCAGGTTTGTTTGACTCCCGCCAGTCTGAGCTATTATAAAATCACGTCTCGTAAAATATTACTAACTGGAAGTAGGCTCTCGTCCCATGGAAACATTTAAAATTCTAGTTTTTACAATTTAGTAACTTTGATCCAAGAATTTGCTTACAGGGAAGAGAACTCTAGTCGCCATAGCTTACAGCTGTACAACATTTCATTAGCTGAACTAAGTACAGCAGAAAGGAGGGTTAAAGTAACAAAATGTAAGAAATCGAAATGGTCCGATACAAGATCTTGCGAGGTTCCCAAGCTAATAAGAACAAATAAAGAACCTCGCTTTATTAATGCAACATGCTACCCAATACATGCTACATTAACATAACTAGTCTGACTCAGACGTATTGACCAATGAAGTCTTCTACGTTTAAGCTCTTGTGCTACATATTCTCCGAGCAGCTACCTGTCTGAATTCTGACAACCTCATCCTAATGACAAGCACAAACACTTTTATACCGTTGCTACATTCAATGCTCACGTAGGTAAGTATGACTGTATTGAAAAGAATTTTTTTGTCTCCTAATCAGTACTGATATGGCACTGCTTACTGACTGCAATGTATTGCACCTAAAAGACGCAGTATTTTTCCCAATTTTTAAAAACTAAACTACCTAGGCTGTTTCAATAACATGATATCTGTAGCTTCGATACTAGTCTTTAATTAGGGAAAACTCTTGCACTATTTTGGAACCTGTTTTGGAAGCTTACTCGAAAATGACTTCAGTCTGTAATCCTGGACAAAATCTAACGGGAGTTTTTACAGCTATGGACTTTTCAAAGTAAATATGTCGAGTATTCATACCTTCAACAGAATTTCAACCAAAAAAAGCATTCTAAGAGGATATGATTGCTAGCATCTACAGCAAAAGACTTTCATTTTTAAAAATTTCACGGCAATACAATATAAAAAGTGGATAACATGTATAACATTTTTTGCCACGAGAAATTGTTTTCATAATACTTTTCTACTGTTCCTATAAACAGAGTAAGTGTGCCTATCTATGCTAGCGCAATTGCTGTACAAAAGAACCATAGAATATCAAAAGCTGTTGACCCTTACTGTATAGTCACCTTGTGACTATCTGTAAAAACCTGATGAACGCTTATCATTTGTGCCCTTACTTTCCCTTCAGTTGTCTTCATCTAAGTAGGGAGGACAAACGATATCTCCTCTAAGGTCATCAAAGTTAATGTGACCCCAGCCACCAGATCTCTCATCAACTAGTCTGACTTGGGCATATTGACCGATGAATTCTTTTACATCCCAGCTCTTACGGTACATTGTCTCGTAACAGTTGCCTGTCTCATTTCTGACAACCTGCATGTAACAAGAAACAAAGCAAACAGTTATAAACCTTTGTTTCGATCAATGCTGACATATCTATCATGACTGTATCATACATCAATTCAAATAAAGAGCAACCTCTTTCTACTTGAAATCAAGACATTACCGCACTGAATGTGCTGATTACAATGTTCAAATAAAGTGCGCCAGACGCGAGTTCTCTTAAGGAAATTAAAAATGAGCTATTTATAGGGCAAAAATATATTTGAAAAGTAAAAACTGAACGTTTTCAACATTATCATTTTCAGGGACACCATTATTTATCCTGATGATGATCTAATGTCGAAAATGTTTGGCTTTCCTTTTTTAACTATATTTTTTTCCTTCTAAATAGCTTACTGTAAACCTAAACGAATCTCATGGATATCACGAAGCTCAAAATGGTTTCGCAGTTTTGAAAGATCAAATCTCTGATGCTTTGATAAATCTACCCAGGTTGTTTCAAAATAATCAAATGAAACATGATGGTCAAAGTGAATAATCTCACCTGATTGTTGACAATAAGCTCCGCACGAATATCACTTATGGTACATCCTCCACCGATGAGAAACGAGATATCTTTGCCAACGATACGGAAACAAGGAGAAATGAGCGTTCCCTGGGGTGGATCGGCCCCATCTGGGTGCTGTCCTCCCGGATCATCGTTCTCGCTGGGTCGATTCTCAGCCCCCCCTATCCACCAGTCCCCTTGTTGCTGGGCGCTTTCTCTTTTGCGAGCTGCTGGATTGTCACCAAATGTTGGTTGATGAATGAAAGCTCTGCCTGTCATTTCCCATTCGCCGATTCCATCTTCAAAGTCAAAACTGCAGGCTACATAAAGGAAAAAAAAAGTCCGGAAATTTCCATCCTTCTGATCACTCTATGATTCTCATGGGTATTGAGTTCACTTCACAGTTTTGTGTTTAATTACCTTTCCTGCAGTATACACCAGTAAATCCTGAAGGACATTTACAACGAAATCCTTTATCAGTGTATCCAGCTTGACATGTGCCATTGTTGAAACAGGGACTGTTACTACAAGGATTCTGTTCAAGACGAAATGACTGCGTATTATAAATATCCATGGTTAGGTATTACTCATCCTCAAAGGAACACGGTCTTGCTGGAGGAATAACTTCTTCAGGACTTTTGAAATATCAGTGGTTGATTTATTTAGAATGGCTTCAATTATTTTTAGCCACTGGTACTTTGATTTTCTTTTTTTTCAACATTGTACAGATAACACCACTAGTGTACCTTAGCTTAGGTATTCTCCCTTGCTCAGGTGATTCCTAATTTTCCTTCGGTGTTCATCACCAATCTCTGTTTCGAGAACTGACATACGAAAGATAGGTCACCAAAGAGATATGATGGGCCAATGTCACCCCATTCATTACCGTATTGGTACTAATCACACGATTTATTTCATCGGTTTTTGCGGTAGTTTTTAAATGAACGTTTAAAAGAGACTCTCGAGCAATAGGCAGAGAGTCGATAGGACGTATGGAACAATGTAACATATAATCTATGGAAAAATCACTCAATCTCACACGAAATCGGGTCAAAACGTTTCTTGTGATGCGCGGTGCAATACTAAGGAATCACCTTAATTCAATTCAAGGGTTGGAAGGCTAGTTTAAAAGTAATCCGACAAAATTATCACGCACAGTAATTGTCCGCAGTCTGAAATAAGTCACTGTACCTCGATGCTGAAATGGGAATAATCTTGTTTACTCTGAAGGACGGATGACCCTGGACTTTCGTCCGAAGCATTGTTTAACTCACAAATGTAGTTGCCTCCTTGCGAAGGCCCCAAATTTATGGACATACAATTGGGCTCCGTATAGCACAGCATTTTACAGTTCCCTTGGTGGGGTACCTCTACAAGCCTGATTAAGTACCCCTCCAAGACTTTGTCCCGTATTTTTTCTTTGAAAACAATGGATCGACATTCTTCACCTGTTCAGTATTGAAATAACAAAAGAGAATGAAATGATGAAGTTGAAGCACGGTTTTGGTTTAGGAAAAGAGGTTTCAATTGCAGGGTAATATCCCCAAAAAGTCAATTTTCAAGAAATTCTAATCGACAGAGTTCGATAGAACTCTCCTGTGACCAGACATAGCCAGTCCATCACTTGCAAATTTAAAAAAAAGTTATTTTAGTTCTATTTTAAGTTCTATTGAGAAGGGGTATTTAAAATATGAAAATAAATTGAACGAATATCAGCAAAACAAATTCAAAATTTTGTCTGCTTACCTGCGGAACATCCAGAGGATAACGGAATAATGATACTGCTATAAAAGAGAAAGCTTAAAAGTAAAACGGAAGCATCCATACTCAGCCTGCACGTTTCCACCATTCGCTTGTTTTCTAGAATAAAAGATTACCAGTCACGCACTGAAACAACAGTTTACATCATTTTAACAACAACCAATCCTGTCCACCTAAAGGCAGAAAATTGTTGTGGATTTAAATGAGTTTTGGCATATGTTGGCAAATCTTGAAGTGAGTCCAGTGGGCCTGTTCAACAGAATGTTCTCAAGGAGATGTTCGTGCCGTCTTTAATAGCTAAGACAGGCGCTCCTTCGTTGTGGATTACGCACGACACTGATCACAAAGATGCCAGCGGGGACCATTCATTAATTATCCAACCAATCACACGAAGGCAATGAGTAAAAAATTTTATTACCTTCAGAATAATTCTATGAGAGCAAATTATCGGATAATATAGATTCCTCTATATTAGCCGATAATTCTCCATTTAACGATCATAAACGGTTTGTTATTGAGATTTATGAGATGGCGCGTATAAACCTAAATTTTCCGAACAGGTGGAACATCAAATTCATAATTAGAGCTCAAGAGAGAACAGTGAACAGAAGTCTAAAAATCTTTCTTTTACTCAAGAAATACTTCTTTGGTTTCTAGCAAAAACTTGGATTAAGTTCTCAGAATTATGACCGTGTTCGAGCAATGTGATAAATTCCTCTTAAACGGCACCTTATTACATATAAATAATACACCGACTGACTTGAGTAATTGTTTTTAATTATGTTTTAGTACAGTCTGACTCCGAATGCTCGAAACGTTGTCAGATATGTAGAATCTCCTTGGGAGATCGAGCTCAAACTGCGGTAGAATAACAAGAAAACAAAACTCACCGTTTCCAACATGGACGTGCTGATTGACGAAAGACAACTGGAGCGAAAAATGTTGCCGCAAAAGAAAAGTTGAAGTTAAACAGACAGCCAATTTCGTATTACAAGGAGTAGAGGGGATCGTCTTTGACCTCGTTTCCAGTTTAATCAATAACATAATTTCGAGTGCAGTTTTGTGTCAATAAGCACTAATAAATTTTTCTAGGACAACATAATTTCAGAAGCCCGGAGGGCGGCTGCAATTTATAGGCTTTGCTTATTTTCACCAAATTGCACGAAAAGTGTTGCTATAACTTGATAATTATTCCCTTGAAAAAAGCATCACAGAAAACCAAGCAGACGACATATTGACAGTGCACGCACAGTTTGTAATTTGCACTCGTTTTACGGCGTTGTTAACGTTTTACATCAAAAAGTGTACTCGTTTTCAGTCGATCAGACGCGCGGAATTTTTTCGTGTATCTTATTACTCACGTGGCAGAATAACTTTAAGACGTCATAAAAAAAAAAAAACAGACGCTGAAAAAGGTCTTTACATCGCCCAAGTCACGAAGACGCCGTTTGGTTAACACATCGTTTTATTACCTTTTTTCAATTCCAAAGCAAAGCGATCAATAGAGTAAGGTTCGGAAAGATGCGTCATTGGAGTGTATTTTTATTAAAAATAAAGTTTCTGTATTCGAATTAACCTTTGCCTCACTCATAGCACACTCTGTGCACGCACGTTCCAAGCAAATACTCCTGAAAAAGATTTAAAGTGAAAATTTCAATTATATATTAAAACCGATTGTCCAAACTGTGATGTACACATTCTAAAATTATGTTTACACAAAAAGATAAAATTAAACATATTTTTACTTTTTAAGCTAATAAATAATAAAGAGCTGATAGATTTTCAGCGGGTAAGTGATCAGTTTCTTCAATTTGCTACGACGTAGCTCACCTAATGTTAAGAACCGCAAGACCCAAATGAGAACACTAACAAAGAGGGAAACAAGATAAAGTGATAAAGTATTTTCCATTGTGTAAATTTGTAGAGAAGTTTTAATGGAATTAACTTCACTCAGCGAATCACCGTTCATTTTCCAACTTTGTAGACAAAACACATTTGAGCGTCTCCAATTGGGTTCTTTAATCCCACGATCCTGAATAAAAATTTTTTTTTCTCAATTCCGTAATCCCAACGGTTTATGCTAGCCAATTCCGATCCCGATCATACAGTTTTGTCTTACTCCATTTCTAAACTTAGGAGGCCCATTTCGGCAGGAGATAATTTTCTCAACCAGCATTGATTCGTTGAAGTCTATGGTCACCGTAAGGCGTAGGTTTACCTCTTTTCATCAAAATAATGATATATTTTATTTTAGAAGTTTTTAAAGTTTTGCAGGAATAACGTACGCTAGTCAAGGTAAAGACTTCCTTCCGTTAAACTTCGATCACGGACGAACGTGTTAATACGGACAGGTTGGTATCAAAGAAACGAATAACAATGTCAACAAGTGCATAAGACACAAAAGATGACGGCCGCAATCTCATAGTTTCATAAGAAGAGAGGTAAAGAAAACTTCATTGAACACAATTCTGCTGTTGAAGCGAATACATCTTGGGAGGCGGGAACCTCTTCCGAGATGAAAATCAGCTTCTAGTTCCAAAGATGGACTGTCACCATCATCACACGGGGAATCGTACTCTAATATTCCATCTTCCTCTTCGGCTTGTTTCCCGCTGTTTTCTTGCTGCTCCTCGAAGTCAAAGCGTTCGAGAGTGACCGGTTTGCCCGGCTAAATTTCTCTCTAATAGAGGTACTTATGGGAGAGTTCCAACTCTTTCCGTCTTTGTTTCCTGTCTGACAGGGCGCTGACGCTCTGCTACAATAAATGTTTACGCCCAGTCCCTCATTTTCTGTATGCTCTGTGGTGTCACCTTTAGAGGTGGTAACGGTTGAATTGCTGGGCATATATATAGGCATATAGGCTGGGCATATAAAGACATAATTCTGAGACTTGCTGGAGGCTTCTCAAGGCCGTTAAGCATTTCAACTGACGCAGCAGTCATAGATACCTTGCTACCCTGTGGGACATTGAGGATTTTTGGTTAATTAGCAACTTCGCTTCTGATATACTTTTCATTGCCGCGCAATAATTGAAGAGTGTCGCAGAACAGCCCGACCGCCTCCTGAATGCTAGAGAGCCTGTTCGCCTGGTGCTTTTCGTGGACTGAGAAGATCAATTTCTTCATAAATTCTCGTCAACGGACATCCCGGTTCTCAGTTCGTTGAAATGATTATTTCCCAAATCCCGCTCATCAAAATCGCCGATTCCCGTGCCCCGTTTGTAAAAACAATCCCGCATCTTGCTCCCTGTTTACTTTAAATTCCCGGATCCTTGACTTTAAATAAGCCCAATTACGGATCCCGAAAATCCTATTGGATACCTCCACATTTGTTTCTCTTCATTCCAGAACTGCACCACTTGTGTCAGGTTTGTTTGACTCCCGCCAGACTGAGCTGTTTTAAAATCACGTAACTTAAGATATTACTAACTGGAAGTAGGTTCTCGTCCCATTGAAACATTTCAAATTCTAGTATTTACAATTTAGCAACTTTGATCCAAGAATTTTGCTTACAAGGAAGAGACCTTTAGTCGCCATAAACTTACAGCTGCGCAACATTTCATTGTTTGAACTGAGTACAACAGAAAGGAGGGTAAAAGTAACAAAATGTAAAAAAATCAAAATGGTCCGATACAAGATCTTGCGAGGTTTCCAAGACTAAGAACAAAGGGAGAACCTCTTTTTCAGTGTGAAATACTACCCATTACATACTACATTAACATGATCTGTGTGGCTTTGATACTGGCTTTCGCACGATAAGGGGAACTGCTACAATATATCGCAACCTTTTTTGACCTCTATAGCCCTAAATAGAATCTAATGGCAGTTTTTTCAAAGCGATGGATATTCAGTGTCCTTAAATACTCAGCCAAGAAATTTCTACACACAAAAAAAGGTGGGTTTTAATATGATATGACTGCTAAGATATAAAGTAAGATGCTTCTTATTGTCACGGTAAAACAATTACAATCATGTTTTCCAATCCAAACGATCGGAAGACATGATTATGAAATGTTCTGTCTCGCACATAAAATTGTCTCAATGCTGGCACAAAGCAAGTACTATAAAACGTCAAAAGCTGTTATAACCTTCTTTCAAGGTGACTACGTGCAAAATCCTGACTTGAAGGGGTAAGTTGGTTTCAACAGCCGTTAATCCTTTTTGCCTTCACTTCTACTTCAGTTAGCGAGGACAAATGATATCTCATTTAAGGTCATAAAAGTCATTGTGACCCCAATTAACAGATCTTTTATCAACTAGTCTGATTTGGGCATATTGACCAATGAACTCTTTTACGTTCCAGCTCTTATGGTAGGTAGTCTCCGAACAGTTACCTGACTCATTTCTGACAACCTTAATGTAATGACACAAACACAAAATCTTTTTCAAAATCCCATGTTTCGATCGATGCTGACGTAGGTAGCATGACTGTATTAAAAGGAATTTTTTGTGTCGCCATCAGTTCTAATATGGCATTGCGTGTGTTGATTGCAATGGATTACACTTAAAAAATGCAGTATAAGTTTCGCAGTTTTGAAAAGCTAAATCTCAGAAACGTTGATCAATCTACCTAAGCTATTTCCGTAACATAATTTCTGTAAATTCGATACTGGTGTTTAATTAGAGAAAACTATTGCAGTATTTTGGAAAATGACTTCAATCTGTAATCCTGAACAAAATCTATCAGGAAATTTTACAGCTATGAGTTTTTCAAAGTGAACATTGAGTGTTCATAAAGACCTTCAACAGAAATTTCAATAATAAAGAAGCATTTTAATATGATATGATTGCTAACATCTACAGCAAAGACTTTCATTTTGTCGCGGTAATCCAATATAATAAGTGGATGATATGATTATAGCATTTTCTGCCACGCGCATAAAATTTTTCATAATACTTTTCTACTGTTCCTATAAACAGAGTGAGTGTGTCTCTCTATACCGGCACAAAGCAAGTGTTATACAAAAGAACTATACAATATCAAAAGCTGTTGACCCTTACTATATAGTCACAAGGTGACTATCTGTAAAAACCTGAAAAACGCTTATCCTTTGTGCCCTTACTTTCCCTTCAGTTGTTTTCCCCTAAATGGTGAGGACAAATGATATCTCCTCTAAGGGCATCAAAATTAATGTGACCCCAAGCACCAGATCTTCTATCAACTAGTCTGACTTGCGCGTATTGTCCAATGAATTCTTTTACATCCCAGCTCTTACGGTACAATGTCTCGTAACAGTTGCCTGTCTCATTTCTGACAACCTGAATGTAACAACAAATATATCAAATAGTTTTAAACCTTTGTTTCGATGAATGCTGATAAATCTATCATGACTGTATCATACATTTACACAAATTAAGAGCAACCTCTTTCTACTTGAAATCAAGACATTACAGCATTGAATGTGCTGATTGCAATGTTCAAATAAAGTGTGCCAGACGCGAGTTCTCTTCAGGAAATTCAAAATGAGCTATTTATAGGGCAAAAATATATTTGAAAAGTAAAAACCGAACGTTCTCAACACTATCATTTTCAGGGACACCATCATTTATCCTGATGATGATCTTATGTCGAAAACGTTTGGCTTTCCTATTTAAAATATATTTTTTTCCTTCTAAATAGCTTATTGTAAACCTAAACGAATCTCATGGATATCACGAAGCTCAAAATGGTTTCGCAATTTTGAAAGACCAAACCTCTGATACTTTGATAAATCAAGTAAGGTTGTTTCAAAGTAATCAAATGAAACATGATGGTCAAAGTGAATAATCTCACCTGATTGTTGACAATAAGCTCCGCACGAATATCACTTATGGTACATCCTCCACCGACGAGAAACGAGATATCTTTGCCAAAGATACGGAAACAAGGAGAAATGAGCGTTCCCTGGGGTGGATCGGCCCCATCTGGGTGCTGTCCTGCCGGAGCATCGTTCTCGCTGGGTCGATTCTCAGCCCCCCCTATCCACCAGTCCCCTTGTTGCTGGGCGCTTTCTCTGTTGCGAGCTGCTGGATTGTCACCAAATGTTGGTTGATTAATGAAAGCTCTGCCTGTCATTTCCCATTCGCCGATTCCATCTTCAAAATCAAAGCTGCAGGCTACGTTAAAAACTAAAAAAGAAAAAGAAAAAAAACCCCGAAATTGCCATCCCCAGAATATCCTATGGTTACATTCAGAATTGAGTCCACTTTACAGTTTTGTATTCAATTACCATTATCGCAGTATGCACCAGTGAATCCTGAAGGACATTTACAACGAAATCCGTTATCAGTGTATCCAGCTTGACAAGTGCCATTGTTGAAACAGGGACTGCTGCTGCATGGATTCTGATCAAGAAAAAATGATGCGTATTATAAATATCCATGCTTAGTTATAACTTATTCTCAAAGGAACACTGTCTTGCTGGAGCGATGACTTCTTCATGCTTTTTGATCAGTTGAAGACCAGAATCAATTACACTTTGTCAATCATTAAACCAGAATATCGATCAATCGAGTTACTGAATATTTTGTCAGGTTGAGTAGTGGTTAATTATTTTTTTTAAAATGACTCCTATTCTTTTTAGCCACGGGTTCATTGATTTTTCTCTTTTTAACATTGTACGGATAACACCACTGGTGTAACTTAGCTTTGGTATTTTACCTTGTTGAGGTGATTCCTAATTTCCTTAAGTATTCATTACCAATCTCTGTTTCGAGAACTACCGCACAAAAGATAGGTCACGAAAGAGATATGATGAGCCAATGTAACCCCATTCATAATTGTCCGCCGTCTGAAAAAAGTCACTGTACCTCGATGCTGAAATGGGAATAATCTTGTTTACTCTGAAAGGCGGATGAGCCTGGACTTTCGCCCGAAGCATTGTTTAACTCACAAATGTAGTTCCCTCCTTGCGAAGGCCCCAAATTTATGGACACACAATTGGGCTCCGTATAGCACAGTACTTTACAGTTCGCTTGCTGGGGTATCTGGATAAGCCTGATTAAGTGCCCCTCCAAGACTTTGTTCTTTATTGGTTCTTTGAAAACAATAGATCGACATTCTTCACCTGTTCAGTATTTAAATAACAAAAGAGAGTGAAATGATGAAGTTGAAGTACGGTTTTGGTTTAGGAAAAGAGGTTTCAATTGCAGGGTAATATCCCCAAAAAGTCAATTTGCCGCTAGATCATGGTTTCCTGTTGGTTTTTTTCTTTTTCTTTCTTTCCTTCTTTCTTTTGTTTGTTTGTTTTTTTTTTGTACCGTGTGAGAGTTTTCCTTGCTACGGCATCCTAGGAGATTGAAAGTTCTGCTGCAGTTTTTTCGCCAAAAAAAGATTTTGCCTCAGTGGGTACCTCTGTAATTTTACCGTTAGATTTTGAATGTACGCCGAAGCAAGTTGTGAGATCCCGAGGCGAGTAACCCGTCAGAGAGGAACGCAAATAATTTACGTCTTTTTTTAAATCGACCCCAATGTATATGAACTACTATTGGAAATTGGTCATTGCGTCAGATTGCGTCAACCGCGGCACAAATGGGTATTTTGCAAGAAATCTAGTCGACAGAGTTCGATAGAACTCTCCTGTGACCAGACATAGCCAGTCCATCACTTGCAAAGTTCTATTTTAGCCGGGGTATTCAAACTATGAAAAAAAATTGAACGAATATCAGCAAAACAAATTCAAAACTTTGTCGACTTACCTGCGGAACATTTAGAGGAAAACAAAATAATCATACCGCTATGAAAGAGAAAGCTTAAAAGTAAAACGACAGCCTCCGTACTAAGCCTACACGTTTCCGCCATTCGTTTGTGTTCTAGAAGAAATATTACCAGTCACGCACTGAAACAACAGTTTACATCATTTTAACAACAACCAATCCTGTCCTGCCGAAGGCAAAAAATTGTTGTGAATTTAAAGTTGGCTTGTTCAACAGAATGTTCTCAAGGAGATGTTCTTGGTGATGTTAATAGCTAAGACAGGTGCTCCTTAAATGGTGGATACGCACAACACTGATCACAAAGATGTCAGCAGGGACCATTCATTAATTATTCAGCCAATGACACGAATGCAGTGAGTCAACACTTTTATTGCCTTCAGAATAGTTCTATACGAGCAAACCGTTTTTCTAAGTCTTTAGAATCTGTTTATCGGTGACATTTTTAACCTCTCGAGCGATTGTTTTCTAGACATTTCATTCGGGCTTCCAGCCATTCCTCCTCAATTTTACATCAAAACAGGTGAAAAGAAAGGTCCCGAATCTTTAAAGAGGAAATTAAAGCTCTGTTTTGTTATAAAGCACGCAGGAAGCGGCTAGGGCACGAGAGAAGTGTGGGGAGAAACACGAGACGTAGTCGAGTGTTTCTCCCCACTTCTTGAGTGCTCTAGCCGCTTCCTAAGTGCATTATAACAGAACAGAGCACAGTCAAGGCTCTATTCTCTATTTTTTTTATAATAAAGAATCCATTAAATTCCCCGAGTATTACTTTCAATTTTCAAAACAAATTTTATTCCCAAAGCGAACAACAGTGTCGTCAGCATGCTCTATACTCTCATAAAGCATGCTACAATAAGCCAATCAGAATCCCTGTTAGAATGGTTTAAATAATCTGATTGGCTGTACAAGACTAAAGCTGTCAAAAGTGTCAAACCATCAAAGTTCAAAAACCACCGAAGTTCACATTCTGCGATAGTTTACAAACTAAAATAGTTCGGAAGGTCGACTTTAACACTTTTGCCCGAAGTTTTTAAGTCTCTAATACAGAATCTTGAAGTGAAATGTTCAGTGAACTTCAGCCGAACTATGGCTCATAAAAACACGCGAGTTTCTTCACATGACAAGGTAGAAAACAAACTGTTCAAGGCGAGTGTATTTTGAATGAACGACCGCCGAATTCACCGGAACATGAAGATCGCTCGGGATGACAGCACGGCAAAACTCGGCTGCAGTGACTCATGTGACTTTCCATTCAACGCATCGGAAAAGATATCAGAGAAAGCTCTTAT